CATTTAAAAATACATTTACTTCTATTATGTCCTGGCCTAACCTGCACAGGCTATTGCATATGACATATTACTCGAGCAGATGTTTTAGACAACATGCTGGCAGCGATGCAAGTGGAGAATAAAGTTTATAGTTTTGTTTCTTCAATCTCAGAGTCACATAATTGAGGAAGCTTTTTTATCTGGCAATTTATTGCAAATGTTATGTAAACTGCCTATTAATTTTATGCCTACTGTGTGGCAGAACTCTTTAATACGATGAAATGGGGGAAGTAGGCATCTAGATTATTTTCTCTCATATGACATCTTTTCACCTTAGCAAAATCTTTTATAGCCCATTTGCCTCTGACCCATGGGTGAGGAAGCAGGTTAGAAGGATGTGAAGATGTTCAGGGAATTGTATTTTTTGATACTGATGGCAGGGGAGGGAAAAAATGGAAAGAAAGATATGATGATAGGAATTTTTATAATTGCATTATCTTGAGCAACTACCTAGTCTATTCCTAGGTTAGAGAAGAAGTATGGGCCTTTAAAAGAACGGTCCCAGGGAAATGATTTCATTCATTTTACTGCCATGACCTCTACTGCAATTTATGTTATTTACTCAAAATAAGCCTGTTTAATATTTCATTAAAATGTATAAAGTATAAACATACAGTATTATGTTACATAATGCATTTGCAAGTTTATATTCAGATGTGGGAGATTTCTGTATTCATGAAGGAATGACCTTCATACCTCAGTGAAGGATCACCAGTTTAAGCAATCCTATGACATTTTTATTTTATTTATGTGCCAAATGAAAATATGACATTCCTATCATCATCTTTTACAAATGTGTTATCGATCAAAGAGGGCACAAAACGATCTCTGTTTTCACTGGGTTGCTGGCACAGGCATTTGCCCCTAATGACTTAGCAATGCCCCCTTTAATATGCTCAAGCATTTGCATTTGTTTTTCTGAAATTTGGCTTTGTTTATCTAGATTTGTAGAATAATAATTTGAAGATAGAAAGAAAAAGAAAAACCACATGAGTTTCATGCTGTAAAATCTACAGGCCATATTCCTAAGTAGCAGAGAAGTGGAAATTTAGAGAATGAAAAAGAAATTAATACCATATCGATGAATAGAATACTTCCACCACTGCCACAATGGAATCAGAATGTTTTTAGCAATTTCTGCTTCTCACATGGAGAATTCATTGAGTTAAACAGATGTTCAATTGATACTATGGTCTCCCCCCAACCAGCATTGACTCTGTTTTGACCAATCTTTTAGATTTGAATTTCTAACCAGTAAGAGGCTGTGAATAAGCAAATCCTATATGAATTGGCTGCCTTTTTAGGTGCCATGACAAAAGTTCCTGAGTTGGATTCAGAAAATACTTAGGCATAGATATGAGGGCGGGGGTGGGGAGAGGGGGTAGAAATCAATAAAAATCAGTGTTTTGAATTTGCTTGGAAGTTTTGAATCTGAACGTAGTGGGGCCTAGACTCTCCTAGAGTGACTGTATTGGAGGAAATAGCAGTAGGTAGAAAATGCAAATGGAAAAGTATACTCAGGGAGAGCTAAGCCAGACTCTCTGTCTGGAGCTTCTGGGTCTCTTCTGCATATTGGCTTCAAAGTTTCTCTCCCTTTGAAGATTCTCTCATCTCTTCTATGCATTTTACCTACACTTAGCCACACAGGCTCTGGCTTTATAGTCTCTTTCAGTTTGGCAGCGAAGAAAGGCTAATTGTAGTCTCCCTGTTCCAATTCACAATTCTCACACTCAAAGTCCTGATACCCACCTTCCACCTCTCACTTCCCCACCTGGGTCAGGGGGGCCACCCCAGCTCCCATCAGCTGCTGGTAGGAACTCAGAATTTTGTGACCTGCTGCCCTTTGGTAGCTTGTGGGAAAATGACGTGGGCAGCTTTGGGAATGGAAACCTGTGAGAATTTAAGACACCTCTAGAACATAAAATCATATAACTTTCCATCCATATTCCTCTGTAATCCTCCTTAGAGATGCTAAGAGTTATAGCTAATCTTTTAAAAAGAGAAGGAAGTTGTCAGTTTTTAAAAATTGGTAGCAGATGCTAGTTTCAGGTAAACAGCTTTTCTCCTTTTTATTGAAATGACAGAAAAAAATAAATAGAACAAAATATATTCTTCTGATTTTCATGAAATGATTTCCCTGCTAAATTATTCCTCAGAAAATTGGTTTAGGGTAGTAAAAGATCCCCCAGTAAAGCTCAATATGATTGTTTGAGAGAAGCATTGTTTTGCTGAATGGTTATAACGCACTCTGGGGGAATGCGCATGATTTAAGTACAATTAATCTGACTAACAGCATTTTACAGCAAGTACCAGAGATGTAGTCTAACCAAATATTAGAGCTCTATTTAAAAAACACATATTCTTTCCCCTTTACCTTTTAAAATATTTTAATTGAAATGAAATACACATAACAAAAAATTAATCACTTAATCCATTTACATTTTCAATAAAGGTTGAATGTCATGGTTGGAAAGTCATAAAATTAAAAAAGGAAAACAACTCTAAGCAATAACAATCAATGAAAAAGCGTTTTAAACCAATCGAGTAGCCACATGAGGCTTAGGCACGACAGACTGCTTCCAGCGGCAGCAACAGGAGAGAAGGGAGCAGCAAACCCTTTCCCCAAACCCCAAGGAGCTAGAGAAATAGACAGCATCAACCTGGACTGCATGAGGAAGTTGTCCTATCTCTGGAAGCTGACTCCACATGGTGATCTGTTAATTTGAATGATGGAGGGAAGAAATGGATGGGACTATTTAAGAAACACAAGTTTCATTGCTCCCTATATGTGTGGCTGTAGAGTAAGCTTTTATCAAAAATCCAAATTATTTGGCCATCAATTTGTAACCCCAGCTCACTTGACACTAATGGGTTGAAATTAACTTGCTTTATGCAAGGTTTTTAGAGATCATATGTACTGTGGTTAAGCTCTCAAATTCACTTATTCATTATATCATAATGATGTTATCTCTTAAAAACATAAATAGATCTCCATTGTTTTCACAGAATACTTTAAAAAACAACAACAGCAAACAAACAATCCATGTCTTTAAGAAAACTTTTGTTGTTTTTAGAGACAGGGTCTCATTCTGTCTTCCAGGCTGGAGTGCAATGGCACCATCATAGCTCACTGTAGACTGGAACTTGAACTCGAATTCGAACTTGAACCCCTGGGTTTAAGTGATCCTCCTGCCCCAGCCTCTCAAGTAGCTGGGGCTATAGGTCATGCTACCATGTCCAGCTAATTTTTCTATTTTTTATAGAGACAGGATCTCACTATGTTGCCCAGGCTGGTCTTGAACTCCTAGCCTCAAGCTATCCTCCTGCCTTGGTCTCCCAAAGTGCTAGGATGACAGGCATGAGCCATCCAAGACCTTAACTTAGCTCCCCATGCTGTATGGCCAACTTCAGTTCCCATTGCTTTTCCCCTTTCTTTCCTTCCTCCCACATGGGCCTTCTTCCTTGGTCTAGAAAATATTAAGGATGCTCCCATATCAGAGCCTTTGCGAGATTATGATATTTCCTAGAATATTCATTTCTATAATTTTTATTTGGTTTATTTTCTCATTTCATTTGGTCTCTCTCCAATACAAAGTGATAAGAGAATCCTTCTTTGACTAGTCTATTTAAAACAGCACTCACCCATAATTCTTTATGTTTTGATAGTGCCTTACTTTTTCTTTATAATACTCATTGCTGCCTGATATTACATTACTTATATTTCTACTTTTTATTGTTTTTCTCCTCCATTGGAACATAAACTCCTTGAGAGCAGGGACCTTATCTGTTTTGTTCCCTTAATCCATAGTGTCTAGAATAGTAGGTACTGCAAATGTTAGTCTGTAAACTTTGTGTTACCAGTTCATGGCAAGATAAATACATTATGTGAGAAAAGCATTTGGAAACTTTGTAGTAATTTGACACTGATGCAACATCCAAGTATGGGATTTTATAGATGACAAAAATTATCAGCCTATGGTGAATTGAGGGGAAAACATAAACCTAGTCCTTCAGCCAGAAAGTTTGAGAGGTAGGGTCCTAACCTTATCTACCTTAATAAGATGCCCGTTCAATTAGATGGTGGAAGGTAAATACCATAAAAATAGATTCCAGTGGTCAGTACTATGTAGGAACGTGACCTCCAAAGTATAGAATACCCTTCTAGACTTTGCACCTTGTGTCACTGTAAAAGAAGTCCAAGGCTTGGTGGTCGTCTTCGGATTCCAGAGACAACACATCCCACATCTGGTGTGAAGCTCTGATCCATTTAACAAGTAACCTGCCAGGGAATGCTCTGCAGCAGGCTCAGACTTCAGAGAGGACCTGGCTGAATCCAGGTGGCAAATAGAAATTCGTTTTGGAGCCTTTTACAATTCTCCACTGTGGAATCACAGCATAGAACTCTAGTGTTTTAGAAGAAAGTCATGCTCTGTTTTCCAGAAACTCAGTTTCTGTTTGAGAAACAACTGTTAACTTGCTACAAGATCCAAAGAGAAACTGAACACATGACTTTGGGACAGGCAGTCAAAGCTACCTAGGATGAAATGGGTGTTATTTAGTTCATCAAGCCATGTCATTGAGTGCAATCAGCAGTAATATAATTGGAAAATGTATTATACATGTATATTTCCATCAGCAATGTATAGCATAGTATTTTTGGTCTAATGTGTGATGATACATGATGTATGACAATTACCTCTAAATCTTAAAAAAAGGAAACTGAAAATCAATTGAGTGACAATAATAACCACCAAATAATAACTTAGAAGTGTGCATTCAGTGGAAATAACCTTCAAAAATGAGGGCAAAAACATATATCTTCAGACACATAAAAAGTGAAAGAATTGATCGCCCGCCGGGGCCGCAGCCCCAGAGAACACCGGCTGCCCTCGCGGCCGCCAGTCCCGCGTTCTGCCGGCCAACGGACCACGTCGAGCCGCTTGGAGCCCAGAAACCACAGCATGTTCCACCTGCTGCTGCTGCTTGCGGGGCTCTGTGGCCTACCAGCCTCAAGACCAGGAACAGATATCCTATATTATTCCAATAGATGAGAGACGTTATACTGTGCATCTTAAGCAAAGATATTTTGTAGCAGATAATTTTATGGTTTATTTATATAATCAAGGATCTGTGAATTCTCATTCTTCAAATATTGAGACTCAATGCTACTATCAAGGAAATATCGAAGGATATCTGAATTCTGTTGTCACACTCAGCACGTGTTCTGGACTGAGAGGAATACTGCAATTTGAAAATGTGTCTTACGAAATTGAGCCTCTGGAATACACAATTGAATTTCAGCATCTTCTTTATAAATTAGGGAAAGAAAACAATGAATTTCCAATTTTTAACAACCATAACAAAAACACAGAAAAATACCCAATGGATTATAACATTTTTATAAGTAAACAATTGGAATCAGATGTTCCAGATTTATTTCCTCTTTATCTAGAAGTACATATTGTGGTGGACAATGCTTTGTATGATTACTTGGGCTCTGATAGCATGATAGTAACAAATAAAGTTGTCGAAATTGTTGGACTTGTGAATTCAATGTTCACCCAATTTAAAGTTACTGTTGTGCTGTCATCATTGGAGTTGTGGTCAGATGAAAATAAGATTTCTACAGCTGGTGAGGCAGATGAATTATTGCATAGATTTTTAGAATGGAAACTGTCTTGTCTCACTCTAAGGCCTCATGATATTGCATATTTATTCATATATAGGGATTATCCACATTATGTGGGAGCAACATTTCCTGGGAAAATGTGTGTTACCCGTTATTCTGCAGGAATTCTATTGTATCCCAAGGAGTCAACTCTGGAGGCCTTTTCCGTTATTGTGACCCAGCTTCTGGCACTCAGTCTGGGAATATCATATGATGACCCAAAGAAATGTCAATGTTCAGAAACCACCTGTACAATGAATCCTGATGCTATGAAATCCAGTGGTGTGAAGAGATTCAGCAGTTGCAGTTTGAGTGACTTTAAACATTTTACTTCAAATGTGGGTGCTAGATGTCTTCAAAATAAGCCACCAATGCAACGGCAACGGGGATCAGTCTGTGGCAATAATAAAGTGGAGGAAGATGAAGTCTGTGATTGTGGTACTCCAGAACAATGTGGACCTGATAGCTGTTGCGATCCTCAAAATTGTGTGCTGAAACAAGGAGCACAGTGTCATAAAGGATCATGTTGCAAAAACTGTCAAGTCTTCCAATCCATTTGTAAGAAGTTTCTTATATGAGAATACCTCTGTTGAACTATCTATCATGCATTCTATCTTCTTAACTGTCCTCGACTCGCACAGTGTTATGTTTTTATTTTCTAGAATCTTATCATGTAGTTACATTTTTACCTCTGTAATATTTTTAGTGTCGACTGGAAGTCATCAGTTAAGAATTAGGACATAGATGCTAATTTAAGATTCTTTATATACATTTTTAGAGTTCTACAATGAGTTAATTAACTATAAAATAATTGAGGAGAAAGAGTAGAGTTGGGCTCCTTTCTCTCCAAAGATGCTTATAGTTGAACTGCATCTTTAATCACCCTCCTGGGTCCTCTGCAGTTATTTATGTTTGACATTTGTCACAGAATTTAAAAGTATTCCACACTTACAAACTATGGCTTGAATAAGTATATTTTTTTGGCAATTGAATAAATTACAACATTTTTGCTCAAAAGACATAATTTTTCCAAGCTAACGTGACCTTTCCTCCTTATATTTAAAACACAAATAAATCTTTGGCTTCTATCATAAAAAAAAAAAGTGAAAGAATTTATCAGTGGCAAACCCAAACTAAGATAAATAATAAATAATTTTCTGTAGGCAGAGGGTTGATTCCTTATGGCATCTCAGAGTTACAGGAACAAATGATAAGCGGAATAAATGGTAAATATATATATATGCATATATATATAAATGTAAATGAATATTGACATGTGAAACAATAACAATAATACATTGAATATTTGAACATACATAGCACATATGGCAGAGGTAGAGTAAATAGGGTTAAATGTTCTATCTTACATAGAAAATGGTAAAAGTACTAATCTATCATAGACATTCACAAGTCAAAAATGTATGTTATTTCTAGAATAAATACTAGAAAAATAGTAAAATAATGTATAACTGACAAGTTGTAGTGAGCAAATGAAATAATAAAATTATTTATTTGATTTAAAATAATATAATAAAAAGAAAAATAAAAACAAAGAAATGAAGGAAAAATAGAAAGTGAAAGCAAATAGTAGGATGGTAAATTTAAATAACCAAATATAAGCAATTATATTACTATAAGTTGGATAAATACATTAATTTAATGACAAAGATGTTCAGACTGAAAAAAAAACCGTCACCATTTGCTGCTAATATGAGACCCATTTGAATATAAGATTTGAGAAACATTGAAATTATAAGGACAGATATGTTATTCTATGTAAACAGTATCTAAAATATACTAAACTAAAGGTAGATCAAAAAGGGTCTGTTTATAATAATAAAAATGTTTACTTCACTAGGAAGATTCACTAGGAATCATAAATGTGCACTTAATTTAGCAAATATACAAAGTAAAAATTGGTAGAGTTAAACAAAGAAGTAAATAAATCCACAATAATGGTGGAAGATTACAATGTATCCTTCAGCAATGAAGAGAACAGGCTGGCAAAAAAAATCAGTAAGGATATAAAAGATTTGATCAACAAACCAAATGACATTGATATAAATGGTATATGTAGAACATTGTATATAACAACTGCAGGATATATATTTTTCTTAATTACATGTGAAACATCTATAAAAACTCACCATATATTAGGCAATAAAGTAGGCTTTAACAAATTTTGAAAGATTTCAATCATCTGTAGTGTGGCCTATCAAAATTTAGGTATAATTAAAGCCATTCTTAGAGGAAAATACAGTCTTATACATATGAGAAGAGCAAATAGGATGAAAATCAACTTGTTTTATTAGCCATCTAAAAAAGTTAGAATAGTAAATTAAATCTCAATAGAGTTAAAGGAAGGAAATACAGAAAAATGTAGGACCAAATGGCTTTACCAAGGAATTCAGCCAAAGACTTGAGAATGATTGATCTATAGATTCTGTGTGATATCAGTAAGTGTCCGAGAAGTTATCTTAATGGAAATTGGCAAGCATTTCCTGGGATACATATGGTAATTCAAAGGCCAACAATGGCTGAGAAAATCTTGGGGAAGAATGACCAAATAAAAGTACTTCTCTAGATTTCCAGATTTACTTTGAACTTAAGACAACCTGATGTTGGCACAAAGGACAAGGAGACCCACAGAACAGAACAGAGGGTCCAGGCATAGACATACACATATGAGATCACAACACTGATGTCGGTAGTGGCTCTGCAGAAGAGCAAGGAATGGACAATCTTTTAATAAATGATGCTGAATCAATTGAGTATATATATGAGAAAACAAAATTTGGTCTAAAGTCATGTCATAGATAAAAATCAATTTAAGGTGGATTGTTGCCCTAAATATTAAAAATATAGCAATAAACATTTCTATAAGGTAATATAATAGAATATTTCAAAATTATAATTTAGTTAAGTGTGCCTTAAATAATACAAAACAATCACTGGCCATAAAGAAACATTGATTTAAAAAATGACTTTATCATTAAGACTTGTATTTATCAAAGATACGGTTAAGAGAATGAAAAGCAAACTGGAAAATGCTCCAAGACATTTGCGACACATCAACTCTCAGGACACTTCTTTCCCAGAATATACGTAAAGCTTCTTCTCTAAGTCAAACAGGAAAAAAAAAAAAACCAAATCAACACAATGTAAAAATGGGCCAGAAACTTGTAAAAGCACTTATGGAAAGAAGACACCTGAAAAGACAAGGATACAAAAAGGTGCTCAACCTCAGCATCATCAGGAAAACACGAATTAAAATCTGAGACACCACTGTACATTCGTCCGCATGGCTAAAACTAATGAGATTGGCAAGATCAAGTGCAAGTGAGGATATGAAGATAAATGAGACTCTCTGATACTGCTGGTAGAATAAAAATCATATAATGTCTTTGGAAGATTGTTAGGCAGTTGCTACTAAATTTGAAGGTACACATATTCTATAAACTAGAAGTTTCACTGTTAGTTATATACTCATAATAAATCCACATATATGTGTACAAATATAATCATAATAGTCCCAAACTTCAAACATCTTAGAGGCCCGTGAACAGAAAAATGGTAAAATAAATTGCAGTGTGTTCATATAAGGGATCCTGCACATCAGTGAAAATAAACAAACTCTTGTCACAGAAAGCAACACAGGTGAATCTCACAAATGTGACGGTGAATAGAGGAAACTGCACATTAAAGAATTCAAACTGTAGGATTCCTTTTATCAAAACATTTGAAGCCAGGTAAAACCAATATCTGGTTTTAGAAACGAGGACAGGGATTCCCTTCAGTGAGGAAGGAGGGAACTCCTGAAGTGCTAGTCATGTGCTACTTCTTGACTTTGGGGGAAGTTCCACGGGTGTGTTCATTTCGTGATAATGCATTCATTGAACTACACGCATAAGATTTGTGCCCTTTTCTCTATGTGCCCTTTAATACGTGTTTTATGTGTCATACTTCAACAACATATTTTAATAAAGAACAGAATATGCAGATAATTACTGGATGTCCTCGTCCATTGACAACAAAATGAGCATATTAGAGAATAGTCAAGGTCCTTTCCAGGAAGTAGGATGGAGCCACACATCTGCCCCTTGCCTTCTTGAGGAGAGAACACAGACAGTCCTATTTGACTGTATCCTTTTATAAATCTATTATATTTCAGTACTTGACAATATTTATTTAAGTATTTTAGCAAGTATTAACAATCCCTTGTCACTTGTGCCCATCAAGTGAGCATCTTCTAGTTTTATGTCATGATTGCAAGCTCCTATAAGTTTGAGTAGTTTACATGTGACACACTTTGTGTAACACACAGATCTTCCTCATTCTTTGTGATCACACAGAAAATAACCATGTGCAGTGCTTCACTTAGTTTAAGCTACGGCATCATATATGACCTATTTCAGAGTCAATAGTTGATACTTAAATTTAATACAATGGCATCATAATTTTTAAAAATGTCTATGCTTTTAAATCTGCCAAATGAGGTGAAACATGAACAACAACACAAAGCAATCTATGCTATTTATATCACTTACAATACTACAATAAAAAATGTTTTCAATCAACTCTTTCATCTTTTACCACTTTACAAAGTCTGCCAATTGAGTGGTTAACTGGGTTGGCAGAATGAAGACTGAATTGATTTTTTAAATAGTCTTATAAAGCTATTTTCTATAGTAGAAAGAAGGTGATATATCCAAACTTGTTGTTGGATTTACCACTCTTCGTTAAACATTTTTAGTATGTCATCTTCAAAATATTTGAGATTTCCATCTTAATTCCATGTCTCAAATTAAGAGCATAAAACTATGACATACATTTTCCTATATTCACTTTAATAGATTATACAGAGTGAAGATGACACACTAAAAAAGTATGATCTTTAAATGATTGCCCGCATTTAAAAATACAGGTGACTTCCTTTGGTGATATAGGTGGCTCTTCTTACAGCTTAATTGGCAACTCTCATGAAGTTTTTCATATCATAAATAAATCCCCTATAGTCTCCACATAACTCTTATTTATAACTGTGACTGATAACTGAGTCTGTTGGTGCCAGGTTAATGCATTGAAGAATGATAAGAATATGTGCTACCCTGATTCATGAGGTTGAAAGACTTTCCATTGAATGGAACAACTCTGTAATGAACAATGGTTTTGGCAAAAGCATAGTTTCTTCTCATTATACTAAAATGACAGATACAGAGGCATGGAGGCCCAAATAAGATTTTCAATATATGAAAATGATGTTGTGATCACTTCAAGAGAGACATTTATTGATGGCAATGATACCAGAATTTGGGAGAAGATACAAGAATTGATAACTGATACGTACAATTCTGGTCCACACCATCAATTTAGTAGAGTCTGACCTGTGACCAGTGACAAATTAGGTCATAAGCAAGAGATTCAAGTTGTTTGACAATGTTATCCTCAAAATATGGCATATGAAATGAAATACAATACACCAAATGAGGTCTGAGTAGTGATATTGGAATATTATCATTACTCAAATGAACAATGTATTTAAATATAAAGGGACCTAAGTTTCCATTCAATACAATATTTAGTAGGCATTTGTACTCTCATGTTGAGCTTGCAATCAGAGGGAACCTTTATATCTTTATCACTCAAACTTTTGCTGAGCTGGATACCTACATGTTACTTGTGCAATCAATTTAATCAAATCAGTATGTAAGATGTTTTTATTCATCTCTTAAAAATTCATGTCTTTAGCTGACCCACATTTCCAAACCTAGAGATTGTTTTGAACCTTAATTCTGTCATTCCACATCATGGCTACCCCTTCTCATTTTGTATCTTTTGCAAATATGCTAAGCCACATTTCCTAGGCAATGTTTAATAGAGTGACACAGGAATAGTATGGGTGTTGTGCAATGGGGAACCACTTTTCAGCTCTAATTCCGGACATAAAGTAATTCCTTCTGCCAAAAAGATTTTAGAACAACCTCCTCCATTACCACAGCACACTGAGACTGCAGATAGTGGCAAAGATGATGCAGAGGATGGCAACAACATCCTGCACTCGGGTCAGACAAAGGGACAAACTGCCTCACCCTGGCAGGGATTCCCATTATCTGGTGAAGCCAGCAGGCAGGGTTCTGCAGAGCATACTGTAGATAAGAAAGCTCTGACTGAAATCCACTGATAAAGATGCAGTTGTAAGGGATGAGAAGTATATTTGTAAAGTCTCAAAACCAAGTGTCACGGTTCTCAAACTAAGTGACATCCCAGTGAGATCAGCATAGGACACATCTTGTGAAACACACAGATGAGGCTCAACAGCAGGTCAGCTGCTAGGTCAGCTGCTGGGGTCAGCAGGGGGTTGGGACTGCAGGTGGGTCTAGCACCCACTCTGTAGAGCTTTCATTTGGTTATATAACATCTGGCAAAATATATATGGTTCTCATTATGAACATGATTTTCAGAAACATTTTTTGTTGTTGTTAGCAGCACTAACTAGCTATTAAAACCAAGATTCTGGTACTTAGATGGGGAAAAAACAGGCAAGCAACACCTTCACAGAATGACTTTTTATTATACCGAGGTATATTTATGGCTTAGAGTGTTCTATATTTTGGTCTCACTGAGATCTTCTTAATAAATAGTCCCATGCTGGCTTTTAGTGCATGTCTCTCTCTGTCCTAAATGGTCACAGACCATCTGATTAACAGTTTGTTCTAATATTTAAGATATCTTTAATTTTGATGATTAATATCTGGATCCATCCTTCTCCCCTTTTTCAAATTCAAGGAATATTTTCTAATCTTTAGTACCCCAGTACCTCTTCTCTTCTCCATATCGTCTTCACATTTTTGGCAACAATTTTGTAATTCCATCTGAGTTTTTGTAGTTCATTGGGATCTAATTCTTCTAGACACTTTATTTCATTTTAAACAGGTAGTTAATTTCTTATAGCCTCTTTCTGTAACCACCTTGGCCTAGTTCTATTCCTGAACATTCTTTACATATCTTTTCATTTTCTTCCTTTCATCCTTCTCTTTCTTTTTTCTGCTTTTTTTCTTTCTCTTTTCTTTTTCTATTTTTCTTTCTCTCTTTCTCCTTTCCTTGTCCAGTGTTCACCACCATGCTTAATATGTAATAGATTCTCAATAACTACTTAATAGCTTGCCTTGTCGCTCACAACATTACAAAAGCCGCTGTCTTGGAGATGCTGGAGAAATGTCAGATATCTTTGGCTTGTCATCTCACCATCTGTTCTTCACTTTAGATTCTTTTTGGAAACTTTGCCTAAGCACATAGATGATTCACTTTCTTTCCCATCGTGTTGATGACATTTCCCCAAGTGTTAAACCTCATGCTCGTGGTTAATCAATTCTTGGATCGTGCATCATTCCAGCCTGATGATTCTTGCTATAGAATCCATGTGTCTTTTGTGGGGCTATACACTGTGGTCTTCAGAGTATTTCAAAACTTCTGACATTGGCTCACTCACTGCTAGGGATTAAAGTTTGCCAGTTTTTCTGTTAAAGTGAGAGGGCCTTCTTAATCTGAGCATTTGCCTTTTATCTTTCATTGAGCTCACCAACTGTTGTCAGGACCACTTTAATAGTTAACTCCTTTTCAAGGATTTATGAGACTTTAGAGAAAAGTAGGCTAATGTTATGCTTAACACTCAGAAGGCCAAAATTCCCAACAAGCTTTCATCAACAAGTCATTCATTCTGAAAATTCTGGTGAATGGAAAACTCTAGAGAAAATTCAACACATTCTGAATGAAATAATTAAATGCTGAAATTGGAAGGGATCTTAGAAATAATTTAGCACATCCCCTTCATTTTACTTGTGGGAACAAATGAGACCCAGAAAGACTAAAATATGCCCAAAGTAGTTCTGTAAGTTGTCAAGTGACAATTAGAAGCCAACACTTCTGACAGTAATCCTAGGGCAAGGCTCCTTCAGTAGAATTCTACCATCCATTGAGGCTTTCCTCGACAGAGCAGTTTGCGAGAGTTGGATAAAGGGCAGGATAAAGTAGCATAGAACTAATGAGTGGGTTCTGGCTGAAATATGGCCTTTCATAAGTGAAAAAACCTTATGGACTCTGCAAAGAAATTTTTGCATATTCCTTGTGAGTGGTGAAACCAGAGGTTTCATGGGGTTTGCTAGAGATAATGATTGATGTGGTTGCTGATGATTAGAATGGAAGGTGTTGAAAACGGGTGAAGCCCATGCAGGCAAAGTGTGGCAGAGTTCTGAGTGATTAGGGTAGAGTTTAGCAAATTTACCCTCCCATCAATAAGAGAGTATTCCTTCACCTTCTGATTATGATGAATTTATAGCCAGGGGGTAGGAAAGAATTTGTTGTTTCAAAGAACATCTTCTGTGGAAATATCTGTATTTCTCAAAGAAAGACTAATTATGGACAGCATCTCTTGGGTGTAAATTTAATCAAATATGGTTTCCTAAATTGGTGCTTACCATTTTCTGCATTCCCACTTGGCAGGTGTATGTGTGGGCAAGGGTTCTTTGTGTGGCAGTGTAATCACATGCAAAATATATTTTTTATCCTTGCTCATTTGGCTCTGTTCCTCAAAGCTCATCTTGTGAAGAAGTGAGGGGACTGATATTGAATTGTGTAATAGTGAATCATTTCGGATTGGCTTTGTTTTAGTGCAGATTTGCTAGATTGTACACCCTTTTCAATCTATGTCAGTTGTCATGCCTGCTTCTATTTTATTATTTCTCAGTCAACTAAGAAATTGCCCTCCTGTTTTGTACACCTTACGCTGCACAGATGCACGGGCCTCCGCCAGAGCAGCATGCAGCAACTTTCAGAAGTTTAATTCTTCCTTGAACATGCAGAACAAGTCAGCAGCTTTCAAAGACTGTGCTTTGAAAAAAAAAAAAAAGATTACTTTTAATGAAAAGAACTCCACATTTACCATCTATTACAAAAATTCAGGCACACAGAGCTTGGAGCAAAAAGACGGGACAGAATAAACCAGCATTGTGTTGAATCATAGAAATGTTAAGAGTACAAAAGACACAAAAGATGCTGTACTGAAGAAGGATATAAGGTCACAGAGGAAGGAAAAAAGTGAACTACGGTGATAAGAGGAGGTGAAATGTAATTGTCTGTGTACCTGAGGGTAGGCACCACAGAGTCCTGAAACCCGGAATTGTTAACAGCCGTCTCTTGAGGGGAGCACTAACACTTCAGAGTCTCTAACACTGCAAGTCAGAAAATCAGAGAAATGTAAAGGAAGTAAATTTGTGCCACTGAATATCTTCTGAATAATTATACGTATTGTGTTATAAAAAGAACCATTCCTTAACTTATAAAATAAATGGTTCCGGAATAAAATGAACACATCAGGGAGAGAATAGATTTTTAAAAAATTGTTGCAAAGGGCTTTAAAAAAAAGAAAAATTATTGTCTTTTATTCTGGTGATTATATCTGGCTTTTCCTTGTACTATTTATACTGTAAGGACTACTTCTTATCATTTTTGGAATTAATCTATGTTATGTACCTTATTTTGTGAATTATAGGTATATTCTGTGGAAGCCATTTCATAGCCATGGTGCTAAATAGTTACATGAACTCAACCTAATATAGGGAGTATGTTTTGGTCTTCCCCCCCCGCCCCCCGTGATTTGAACTGTACATAGCTGAGGGTTGATACAATCTAGAGCCATATGTATAAGTTGGGGTACAATGGTAACCAAGCCCTGGCCCCTCATGGAGGTTGCAGGTTAGTGAGGAATACAGAGGAAAAAGGGTAAACAAACAAGACAAGTATGATATTTGGGGCAAGTTTTCTGGTGGGTAATGTTCGACAGGATTCCACACTCTAGTGGTGTTTACACCTTCCCAACTTGTACCTGTTCCTGATTCTGAAAGAGTATATTTTTATAACTCCGCTCCTCACCAAATGTTAACCATGCATGCACCTCAGTTCTTCGCAGAAACTCTTGTTCTGGGCTGTGCATTCATGCTCTTTCTCTCTGCTTTCCTAGGTGTCTGAGAGGAGAAATTCACAGCTCTTTTTTAAAAAACTGCATTTGCAGAACTTAGGGGCTGCTTATGGTGAATTCTTGATGAATTGAATGTGAAGAAAAACTGTGGCTCCTTAGACTAATTTGGCTGTTTCCTATTGTGGGGAAAGAAATGTGTAACCAGGTATGTTTTCTACTTCTCTTGACAAAAATCACAGTGCTTAATGTCCTACCCAAGTGTTACAATCTGCTCAATTCAGTTGCCTGAAAAACACCTATTCCTTCTGCTTTCTTCAGATGTACTACTCTGATTTATCCTTAAATGTGTGTTCATAAGGAGGTAGTGGGGACAATTATGTAATTATATGTAGTCAAGTTCAAGGGTGATTCCAGTTTGCTACCATGGGTAGCATATTTCTGAAGACAAGGCTTCTCTTGTAGGGATTGCATAAGCTTCTTGTATTTATCCAGGTTTGGTATTTAATTATTCATCTTTTGCAGCATCATTTTTTTTTTCTTTCTGAAGAACTTTTGCACCAGCAGACATTTATGCTCTAACATCTGTATTAAAAACAAAACAAAACAAAATAAACCAAAACAAACAACCTTTGTTTCAACCACCCTCTCCTTCTCATCTTTCTTTCTGCCTCTTTGTAGAAAAACTCTCTGACCTCACATTCCCTTCCAGTGTGAAATGAGGGTTGTGGTTCATTTTCTTTCTTTCTTTCTTTCTTTCTTTCTTTCTTTCTTTCTTTCTTTCTTCTTTCTTTTCTTTTCTTTCTTTCTTTTTCTTTTTCTGTCTTCTTTCCTTTCTTTCTTCCCCTCCCTCCCTCCTCCTCCTTCCTCCCTCCTCCTTCCTTCCTTCTTCCTTCTTCCTTCCTTCCTTCCTTCCTTCCTTCCTTCCTTCCTTCCCTGGTGTGCAGATCCCTGCTGCCCAAACGATGTGCACCTCAACACAATTCTCTTTCCTCTGCCACTGCTGTCTTCCTTTGTATCTTCCTTAGAGATTTTTCCTTGTAGGAGGTTAGTTGAGAAGAAACATCCATTTACATATCTACTTGTCTCAAGGGGTTAGGTTCCATATCTGAAATCTCTATGTTGGCCTCATACCTACTTTTCTTCTTGTATTCATCCTACTGTCCAAATCATTTGTTTATTTGTTTATACCAACCAATCCTGCATATGTTTTGTTAGCTTCTTCCCTAAATATTTCAAATTTTGTTGATTGTATCAATGAAATGGTACCTTTTAAATTTCATTTTAAAATTGTTCATTGCTAGTTAATGTACAGAAACACAATCAATTGTGTTGATCTGGATTCTTGCAGCATTGCTAAACTGATGTATTAGATCTAGTAGCTTTTTCTTTTTGGGTATATTGTATGAATTGATCTAATAATATTATTTTATTTATTATCAATATTTATTATGTATTAATATACTATTTAATATTTATTATCAATAATATAATATTGATAACTATTATTGATAAATAATATTTGTACATTTGTATGGGTACATATGATCTTTTGTTACATGCATAGAATGTTATAGATCAAGTCAGGGTATTTAGGGTATCCATCACTTCGAATACTTTTTTCCCCAATCTTAAGGGGAAAGCATTGAGTACTTCATTGTTTGTGATGACATCAACTGAAGGCCATTCACAGGTTTCCTTCAAAAGACAAGGAACTTTACTTCTATTGCTATGTTACAGAGATTTTTTTTTTTTAAATCCTAAGTAAAAGGTTGACTTTTTAAGAAAACTTTTTCTACATCTGTTGAGATAATCACATGGGTTTTCTCTTTTAGTCTATCACTATGGGTAATCACATGCATTAATTTCCAAAAGTTGAACTAACCTTCATTTCTGGGGTAAACCCCAGTTGCTCATGACATATTGTACTCTGTATATGTTGTTAAAATATATTTGTTTTTAAATTTTTTATTTTTTATTGGTACATAATAGTTGTATATCTTTATAGGGTGCATGTGATATTTTGATACAAGCATACAATGTGAATTAATCAAATCATGGTAATTGGAATATCTGTCACCCCAGGCATTTATGATTTCTTTGTGTTAGGAATATTTCAATTCCACTCCTTTAGTTACTTTAAAGTCTATCGTAACTTATTGTGGATTATAGTCACTTTGTTGTGCTATCAAATATTGTTCATTCTATTTAACTATCTAACTATACTTTTGCACCTATTAACTATCCCCACTTTATCTTCCCCTCCCCACTACTCTTCCCAGCTGCTGGTAACCATCATTCTACTCTCTGTCTCAATGAGATCAATTGTTTTTAATATTTAGCTCCCATACATGAGTGAGAACATGTGAAATTTGTCTTTCTATGTTTGGCTTATTTCACTAGAATATGTTTGTTAATATTTTGTTCAGGATGTTTGTATCTATATTTTTTGGGGTAAAAGTAAGGTAGAATAAATTATAGAGCTTTTATTATCAGCATGGAGAAAGCATGTGTGCTCTTAAAGTGACACATAGCTTTTCCTGATGGTGAATTATGTCAAGACAGAAATTTCTCATGTTGAACTTTGGGGAACACTATGCTTCACAGTAGACAATGTCCTCAACAGCATCTTCACAGGAAGTATAATGATGGATTTTATATGACTATTCCTATATTATAAATGGAAAGAATATAATATTCCAACACACACCAGTTAATTAAAATCTGAATGGGAATGCAGTGATATAGTTTAATTCTATCCCGTAATGGCCACCAAAGTTTGTATATTGTAGATACAAAATATACAATATTGTAGATATGTGAAATAATTGTGTGATTTAATATAATAATTCAACAGAATCAAGGAAGCTAAGTGCATTTTGCGTTATAGACAGCTCAACTATGTCTGCTCCCATGAAAGTATTTAATTTCTCCATTTGTATTCTACTCTTTTTAACATTAGATTCTTTTTTTCTTTTAGCTCTTCTCAGTTATATGTCCTTTTTTTTTTTTTACAGTAGAATCATTTACCCATAATTATCTGGAATTATGGAATCCCTCAGAAGGAGTAAAATGGAGGTTTCATTTGGAGGATGAATATAGTCTGATTTTAGGCTCTTCAATTTTGTGTTCTTTTGCCCCATTTAGTTTTATTCCTTTCTCTTTTAGTTGCTATAGCTCTTTTCCATTCATCTATAAATTTCTCTAGTTGTCTCAATAACCATCACTGTTTCTGTTGTTTATGGCATCCCATAAAACACTGTGCTATTTGATTTGCTTTAACCAAACTCCAACTAACTGACCCAAATTTTAGTCTTCTGTTGGTTTCGTTTTTCCTAACTCATAGGATGTAGGGTTTCTTGGAGAGGAGATGGAGCACATATCCTTCAAATAAACTTTTCTAAATGCAATTCTGTTAGGCTTTGATAGTAGCTGGACTGAATTGACTAAAACAATTTGCTGTTGTGACATTGGGAAAATGCAATCATATGGTCAGAATGAAGAGAGCTTGTAGCAACATCAGCATGATACAGCAATCAAAGCAAGAACAGGAATTCAGGAGGTATATTAAAGTTATGAGTTACTAAAAAAGTGTTAGATTATAATTTGCCAATAGGTAAAGTTTTTAAATATCCCTCAATCTGTCTTGGACTTTGTTTCTCCATATGAAGATGATGCTTCCTGATGCAAAAAAAAAAGGTATCTAGCTAATTTGGCAATTGTTTATAAAGTTGGGTTAGACTATGCCAAATTTTTTCCCAACAAACATTTTCACAAGGGCTCACTAGTTTCTGATACAGTCTTGCTGTGAAACTGTTTCGTGAGCCATTTTGTTGAGCCAGATTACAGACAGAATCTATTTCCTGTGAGCATCATGGCTAGGAAAACCTCTCACAAGCCAATCTTCTAGTTAAATGTTCCAAATTACCAGTTAATTGCTCTAGCCTGATGCAACTGGTTCATGCATCTTCCAAATACCAAGTCAGAAGGAAATAGTGCAGACAACTGCAAATTATCCAGTGGATTTTGAGCCATTTATATAGCTAATTAAATATTGGACATATTTAGCATTTACCCAAATGCACCTAAATTGACAAAACCCACATCCTCAGAATAGCACTTCTTTTTTCATTAAGCAGAATATATAGTGATGAATAAATCTAAATTACAAAGTCAACATTGTAATTACTAAAGTACTTGGATGCATCTAATAAAATTTGGTTTTATTCAATTTATTTTGTATACCATAATGTATTTCATAAAAAAAGCACACCTGTGTCATCAATTATAAAAGAAATATGCATGCAGAACAAGTAGAGACAACTGCTGTGGATTACTAGTGGCCAAATGATTATTTAAGTCTTAAAAGGACTATATCATAAAAATAATATTTTCATCTAATCATTTAGGACATGTTCAAATGGCTTTAGGTGCCTAATTTAGACTTGAAAATGAATACAAAACTGTCTTATTAAATAACAATATAACTAGATAGCTTTAATGAAATTTTTAAAAAATAAAGACTTTTGAATTATAATAGGCCACTCATGCAGAATAATTCATGCACAATACTGGATTCCAATTGGGGACTGATTTAATAGTGATGTTAATGAAGTGCCAAGAAGAGAGTGAGTAATAGGGTGAAATTCCTTTGTAGCAATTTCCAGGAGAGGGATTTTTCTTTTCTTTTCTTCTTCTTCTTCTTCTTCTTTTTTTTTTTTTTTTTTTTTTGGTAATAGAACTTAGAAATTTCAATTGGAGCAATTTCTTTTGGGTGGGAAAGTTTGATTGAAAAGAGAGAAAACGATGAAGAGAAATAAGGGTAAGAGGGAAAACCTATTTTCTTACTTCATGAAATAAAAATTTGCTCATGTAGTATAAAATGAAATTGACTAAAAGTAAAAACAAAACGAACTCACTTTGTACATTTCTCAAGCTCAACAAAATGTAAACAATAGAAATAATGAAAAGAGTAAAGATATTTTGTAAATTTACCCAGTTTTAATGATCTTGTGCTCCTTTGATAGTTTCCTTAAAAAAATTGCCATCCCCAATGTAACAAATTTGATACATCATATGATTTAAATAATAAGTAAAATAAAAATGCATTTTACTACTGCAGTTAAAAATATCATTTTCTAAAAGGATTATAACAACAAGAAAACATTTTAAGGGATTGAACTCATTCAGTGGGAGTAGTTGTTCTAAGTTCATCACTGTGTTTATTTTAGAATGCAGTCTGTACAGTTAAATGTGATATTTCACCTGTTACGGAGACAACACCAACCTATTTGATACTATTGCCTGCTAGTTCCAACTATATACTCTTTCCCAAATATGCTAACTACAGAACATTTACAGAATGGAAAATGTCCCAAAGCAGAAGGCTGGATGGTTTAATAAGGCATAATTTTTATATATTTCAGAAAATGTTAAACTTATTACTAAAATTTTATGACTACTGAAAGACTTCAGAAGTGGTACAGGGATTACCTTTCACTCTCTTATACCAGCTTAGAAATATAATCTGGAACACTTCTCCTCTGTCATTTGTTTAGGGTGCTCCTTTTTTGTATCTGTCTGAGGATATTCAGTTGTCAATTTTTCCTAAGACTATAAAGAATACAACATTTTGAATTATTATTTTTTTTAAAATAAAAATGCCCTTCTGTTTCTATAAAATTTTCTCAGGGCTTGTACCATTTAGGCATCCTTTTATTTCTGTCATATCAGTATGTATAAATTATCACTTTACTGACAAGGCTTCTCTGGTATGAAATCTTCAATAGCTTTACACTGCCTATTGAATGAATTTTAGGCACATTAGTTGGGTGAACTATGTCCTCCAAAAATCTGTTCCTTTGCCGCTATTTGCCACTAATTTTCTACCTAGAAATGGTACTCTGGCCAGATTTCTTTTTTCCTCATGTTCAAAAAACAAAAACCAAAACCCAAAACAATATAACCCTTTTCCATTTCTTGCCTAACTCATGTTGTTCTACAAAAGCTGATCTTCTGTGGAATATCTACTTGGTACTACAGGTCTCGATCACATGCTTTGATACTTTGTCTATGAAGCCTTTCCTAACCTCCCAGTAAGAAACAATAATTTCTTCTTTGAACCCCTACAGCAATATTTGTCTCTCTCAAATTGTAGAAATTCACATATTTATCTCTCAACTTGCAATAGTCATGTGTGGACCTGAATTATTGTGTAGAAAAGAGAATGGCCTCAGGAGCCAGGGTGCCTGGGCTCAAATATAGACTCTGGAAATTTTTAGCTGTATGAGTTTGGGGAAGTTACGTGAACACTTTGAGTTTCAGTTTCCCCATCTGCAAAAATAAGATATTATTAATTATTATTAATTGTTCGAACTTGAAAGAGTTGGTATGTCTAAAGAACATAGACAGTACCTTGCACATAGTCCAGGGCTCACTATTTTATTATATTATCTTGTGGCTTTCCTAACTATTATTGTTGAGTTCACAGAGGCAAGGACTCTAAATGATTTATTCTTGTGTGTAAGCAATATTATCTCAAATAATGTTTGCTGACTAAATGTGTAAGTCCTAAATTATGAAAGGAATTGTTTGGGTTTGAATTTTGTGTGATGAAATTTCCTATGAAGCTACCAACAATTAAAATTATTTGATTGATTTATGTTTATTTGGTTATCCATGAAATATTTATTTAGCACTTGTTACATGCAAAATATGGTGGTAGAACCAGTGGAAGGCAAAATACACACCCTTTGGCTTCAAAATACACAATCTTGGCTGACACCAAGTGATGCCATGAAAGCAGAAAGTGTAGCATTATGCAAAGAACATATAATTTTGACAAAGAAAGTCCCGAATTTCAGTCTTAGTTCTGTGATGTATAGCATTATTTAAGCACAACAATTTCCTCAAATAAAAAAAAATAACCCTAATAATATCATATCATTGTTTGTAATTCTGACAAGAATGAGATAATATGCTTAGAAAAAAAAAGCCTAGTACAGTAATTTGACACACAATACCCAAGTACCAGTTTTCTCTTCCAAATAAAACAAAAAGATTTTTTAAAACAATAATTTTAGATAAAGATTAAAGTGTTAACTGGACATTAAGACAAATTATCAAGGCATATGTGAAGCAGTACTTATGAGTTCATTTGTTCATTCATTCAAAACACAACAATTGATTTCTACTTAGTACAAAAGACACTACAGTGAGTCTTATGGGGAAATGTAGAAATAAATGGGATATGTCTCCTACCACTAAATGGCTTATAATGTGCTGGGTACGTGGAGGCATAGTTAGAAATAATTATGGTGAATACTACAAATGTATATTTAGGGAAATTCAGATAGCATGCTTTGAGGTTTCTGAGGAGTGAGAGCACATTTCTGCCTTGGAGATTTTGAAAGCTTTATGGAGTATGGTGCAAGCTGAGCTTAAAAGGAAGATAGTATTTTTACAGGTCAGGTTGTAAATCGTGTATTCCAATTAGAGAAGAATAGAACCAATATGGAAAAGCATACCACATGTTCTGAGAATAGTGGGAAATCAAGTTTTATTGCAATAGAGAGTACACTTAGGAAACATATGACAAATCTAGAATGGAAGTCGGGGTTAGTTGATAGGTTCGGGTGGGGAGGTGGTCAAGAGATTTGCATTGAATTTAGTAGATAAACGGGAACCACAGAAGATATTTGAGTGGGGAAGTGATACAGTGACATAATCAGAACTGTACTTTCAGGGGCTTAAACTGATGGTTTGGAGTTTAAAATAGAAGAAGTGTCTATTATGTGAACATCAGGTTTAGACAGAAATAGCAGAAATAACATGTTCTGAATATTATTCAGGGTGATGATCGTGGGAATAAGAAAAAAAAGACCAACTGGAAAATATTGGTTACTATCAGTATTGTCTGCAGAATAAGTAAAAGTATAGAAAAAGAAAAGAAGTTGGAGAGTGGAACTAACTTTTTCTTTAGCACATATATATCGGGCATGTGTACTACTGGGCAGTTGACATATTAATCTTCTTTAATCATTATAATATAGGTCAAGATAGGTTATATTTTTGGGTGGATAAGTAACTAGCCCAAAATTGATGTAGCTCATCAGTAGAGGAACTAGAATGTGAGCCCAAGTGTATTTGACTTGAGTGCCCAAACTCCTTTTGCCGTGCTAGCTCGGTGATACAGTGAAAGGGCTATTAATTGCTAGTTCCAAAGTGAAAAGATAGCATGCATATTTAGATTTTCTTTTATACTTGAATAAAGGTTGAATTTTCATAAAAATGCAGACTCTAGTTATTTAAATAATAAATCTAAATCAATATTTGGATAATGTTTTATATTAAAATGAGTTCTTATTTCAAAATAAAATATCCTTCAAAATGTTCGAATGACCAGTAACATCATAGCAAAGAAACAAGTATGCATAAATACACAACGGAAAAAAGAATGGCAAAGAAGGTTTCAATACATTTTTGGAGGATGGAAAGCTGATGGAGAAGTCAGACTGAGGCAGCAGGAAAAGAAGCCACAACCCAGTTGGAGGATCTACAACTGAGGAATAAGCCTATATCCTCTATAAAAGCCTCAGAATATGGCCTTGAAATTCAGAAATGCTACTTATAATAAAAGGCTGAAGGTGTCATGGGACTTAAAACAGAATTTATTCTGAATTTCTAAGCAGAACAAGCAGTTCTGCCTTACTCTTGAATTATGTACTTAAACTAAATTATCGACAATAGTATGAGGGTAGACTTTTTCATACTGGCAAGATTTAGAAAGGTTACTGCCCACAAATCTTTTCTTAAGAGGTTATTGAGGATATGCCTCAATAAGATGAGGGTAGAAACAAAAAGACTATCAGATTCAGGAAACCTTGAGTCTGGTTACCAAAAGGAAAGCAAGGAAGTCTCTAGTCTAAATCATAGCAGGAAGTTGGAGAACTCTGGCAGGGAGATGTCTGGGATTAATAAGGATCTCAATATCATAACTGATATGAGGAAGGTTTTTTTAATAAAAAAGGTTATAATAACAACAGATAGAGTTCAATGGTGTTATGTCCAGAATAATGAAAAAGAAGAAGGAACCAACAGTACAATAGTATTAGTAATAGAGATAAAGACAGACGATTATTGTAGAAGATGGGTTATTGGGTGGAGTTGGCAGACTGGGAATAGAGTCTAGACAGATATGAATGAGAAACACGAAAACTTCTGAATGAAATTTCACGTGTTTGATTCAGAAATTATAAAACCAAGAAAGAGCAAAGCCACTATGTTTACATTAAGACATCATTTTAGATAGTGACCCTTTGAAAGAAGGGATAGTTGGATTTGTCTATGCAACAGTAATGCAAGTGTATTAAAATTACCACTGGGTACATTTATCCAAACAGAATTATTTTATCAGAGCCTGCAGTGCTATGTTTTATGGAATATGAAGTTAAAGATGAGTAATAGTGACTTTTGTCATACCTTTGTACCAATCTAAGTAGAACAGGGATTTTAATAGTTAAAAGTATTAAAATTTTGTTAGAATAAGGCTGCATGTCTTGCCCCACACTTTTATTATTTTTAAGGAATGATATCAGAATACCATATTTGAATGAACTCAAGAAAACAAAAATTCCCACACAAATAAATCTTAGCACTTCCCCGAGAAGCTGCAAAATATAATAGCCAGACTGAGTCATTCTTAATAAGAGTTTAGTTAGTGTAATCCAATTCATACATTACAGATATAACTGAAGGGGAAGTAAAATTTTTTCTCTGTCTTCTTAAGGTTTCTACTGGGCCTAAGAATTAAACTGACATAAGACAGATTAGAAGGAGAAAAGCATACATGGGAGCAAATGAAGATACAAAGAAGCAGTTAGGGCCAGAGGCTTACATACTAGGCTGGACAAAGAGTATTAAATTTGTGAAAAAATGACAAGACAAAGGAGTTTGGGCTAAAGCAGTTAATTGTGGAAGATAAAGGTTAATTTAACAAAGTTTGTTTTCTCTCAGCTTCAACTCCCCTTCTCTGGTGATAAGAATGTCTTCCTTCCTCCTGATACAGGGCGGACACTTTTCACATGGGAGTTTTATCTCCTGCTTTCACTGAAAAAAAAAAAAAAGGAGGTCACAGTGCCCTTCTTGCATCATCTGCTGTTTTTCAAGTACATTTAACTAAAATAATCAATATGCCAAAGTGGCATATGCTGAATGTTGGCACAGTCAACCTGTTCAGGCAACTAAAACTAACCTGATCCAGATAGGTAAGCATCCACACCTCTTTTTATGCCAAATGTGACCAGTGGTTTTTTCTGTACTATATAGCATACAGATGCCTTTGAAGTTGGAATTATCGATACTTCACAGAGGATTCTCTGTTGGGAGCTCTGCTTCCTTACCTCATAGCTTTCGGAACCTTGCTGCTCATTTGTGGTGGCTGTTGCACAACTGTTGCTACCTGCCTTTTAGAATTTGGCTTTGTAAGCTCTGCCATATTGCCTGAAATTAGGGATTGAGAACAGTTCTAGAGTTATCAAACCCTTATTTTACCTAAAGAAAGGGTTAAAGATGTTATTTCACTCCTTATATTTTTACCTTTAACCAACCATTTA